ACAGGCGGAGACCCACTACGGCTACAGCTTCATCCTGTCCTGGCTGGTGTTCTGTTTCTTCGTGTTGGCCGGCCTCGTACTGCTGTTCACCTCCCACAAGAAGAAGGCTGAGTACGCCGACAGCAGCGAGGCTCTGGAGGATGAGCCCATGGAGATCTTCCGCCGATAGCCCGCCCATGTCTGGGACGCCGTGAGCTCACATGCTGACGTCACGGATTGGGCTGGGGTCAAGAACGCCTGCGGGCGTGACTGTCGTCTATGGCATTAAAGTAGCTGACGTCACGAATCTGGGTCTGGGTCTAGGACGCCTGTGGTTGTATCTGGCACGCTGTTAACTCAACCTGACGTCATGTCATGGATGGGGGTCAAGGTCGCCTGTGGTCATGTCTGGTGTGGCGTTAGCTCAGATGACGTCACGGGTATGGGGCTAGGATTCATGGGATTCTTCTTCGAATTATTTCTGTGGTTCGGAATCTCAAAGGTTTATTGGTTCTTGAACTGGATTTGTTTGGTGACGTTGTCATAACAACGTGGCTCCTCTACGGCGCCCGCTTCCTCGGTTTTGTTAGATGCTTTTGTGACGTCAGATGTACTTTCTCCGGAATAGTCATCGTATTACGACATAACATAGGTTGTGATCCTAGCCCTCTCCCAAGTGGCTCCGTCAACATACGTGTGAGCACAGCGGCGAGGCTATTGATTGACTGGTTGTCTGTTTGGGTTGAAGAAGAAGACTCGGGGTTATGATAGAAAGAAGGAGAATATACAACCATATGATATAAAAATTGTTACCGTACTCTTATGACTGTATGCAAGTGTTCATTCAACTATGAAACAAGACAATCTGAGGGTCTGAAACTCGCCAGTATTGCAAGATACTCGGAACTCTAAGGACAGTTTTGCTTGATATTGAAAAAAGGTTATGGGACTGAGATACCAGCCACGTTTATCAAGTACAGAAAGTATATGTTATTATAGATATTACTCGTGTTGAGCCTCAAAGGTTTTGATGACCCTGAAAGTTCGTGGTAACAGTCGACTAGATGTCGTCTTTCTGATAGTATAGACAGTGAGGATTCTGATATGCCGTGATTAATAGGCCTTGTCTGCCGAAGTGTTGGCCGTGGCTGACACGCAAGGTCGTCATAGCCTGCCTCTAGAACAAGTTGCACGGTGTCCTAGAGAACATAAAACAGTTGCAATTATGTGTTTAGGGTCTGTAGACGACAGCGAAAGATTGTGTCAACTTGTTAATGCTTGAGTGTTTAATCGGCGTCTTGCATTGTATGCTTCCTGGGAAGCCGAGAATGCTTCTAGGTGTTCAAGGGTCTACTGGGCCTGTAATATAGATTGTAAAGAGCCTAGAGTTTTCTTGTTGAACGAGAATATGAGCTCTACAAAAGCTATTTATGTCGTCCGAGCAAGACCGTTAACAATACTGTATGTCGACTTAAAAGCACCTGGTGATTAGGACAAGAGAGTATCCTATGTGCCTAACCGTCGACGCTGGAACCCCAAACATACCCTGAATCTTGCCAATCAAAGACCGACGGCGAGGGAAATTTATGTTCGTGAATGCGGTGATGTTGAAATCACCCACACTTACGAACAAAGATCCCTTCTACAGCGCGCAGTCCCTTGTGACTCTCTTGAGGAATGCGTTCAGTCGAAGCTGCGAACACAACTCAACGAAGAAGAGAATCCTTCAACTAGACATCACGAAGTCTCTGGGTGTTTTTAAACAACCCTGTGAATAGTAATATTAAGAATGAAATTGAGACGTATATGTGTTCTCTGTGGCCTCGACGAAGTGGAAATATAAAGTACACCCGTATTATTTCTCATTATTTTGACGTCGTCTACGCATACGCACGTTATACGGGGTGCCCACTACGGCTGGATCGGGCCGATCGCCCGACTCGATCGCCTGAAACTGAAACCAAACGCGTTTGTTTTTGAGGCGATCGAGTCGGGCGATCGGCCCGATCCAGCTGTAGTGGGCACCCCGTGTTATAATATTGTCTGAGAAACGGCGTCGTGTGTATTTCTTCTCTCTGTCGTCCTCTAAAAAAGGTTGTGTCGCCTGAGCGTCGGCGATCTACAGATTGGATGAGTGGAAATGTTACAGTTTTCTCAGTTAAGTTTCCCGAACACATTTGTAACTCTCGATTCATAAGGTTCTATCTCTATCGCAAGTCATAAGGAGATAGACTTGTTTGGCTGAAATGTCGTAGTTTGTCGTGTGGTCGCCTCTCCCTTCCCGCCTCAACAATGGAATCAAACATCACGCTGTGCTGTCACGTGGTGGTCACGCTGTGCTGTCACGTCGTGGTCACGCTGTGCTGTCACGTCGTGGTCACACCGTGCTGTCACGTGGTGGTCACGCTGTGCTGTCACGTCGTGGTCACGCTGTGCTGTCACGTGGTGGTCACGCTGTGCTGTCACGTCGTGGTCACGCTGTGCTGTCACGTCGTGGTCACACCGTGCTGTCACGTGATGACCACGCTGTGCTGTCACGTGGTATTGAGGTCCAGTGACTTAACGTGTTTTCTGGATGGTCACCAGCCTCTGTCCTTATCAAACAATCTCTGGACTCAGTCAATGCCTAAAGTGAGCAAGGAACACGCTGTTCATCGTTACAGCTCTAGTGGTGATTTTTAAGATCAATTCTCTAGCACAACTGCATACGTTATATTCTTTCATTTTTTGCGCATATCGTTTTAAAATGTGTTACTCGTTCAACTTCAAAGATTACTGTAAAGATTGCCCCATGTTCTTTCACAAATACTAATCACATGAATGTTTGCTGAAAAGAAAGGAATACGAGTTGATAATAAAAGAAACGAAAAATTATACAGATAGTAGAAATCCTCATTAACTCATACGGTTACGGCGAATTTTGAGAAGTGGATATAGTAAGAGCAAGACCGCCCCTTAAATAACCTAATAGTGTTGATAGGGGCGTTAAACCTATACCATGACAGGACTATTAAAATATTCACCTTCAGCTCAGTGCCAAATGTTATGCTAAATTGCTACAAGAGAACTTCCATAATTTGTTAGATGTGAACGTTTCTGAAAGAGACAGTTTCATATGGTCGCTTTTAAGCACAAGGGGGCTATCCCGAAAATGCTGTTTTGAGAAAATCGAAGTTAAAGTCTTTGGATCCTTATCAAGCCTCTTTAAAAGGCGAGAAGAATTTTCTCTATTACCAAACAAATATACACACCAATGAGACCAAACTTCTCACATAAGTAGGGCAATGCCCACTTTTGGTGTAGGTCAAGATTTCTGGAAACCTCCGAAATCTGGGTTAGCCCGCTTGTCCTTAAATGCGACCATATGTCTCCAAGAGAAAATTATTTTTTCTACTGTTTGAAATGTTTCGTGGACCCTGCCTCACATCATTGCATGTTGTTTTAAACTTTTTGTCAGCAGAGCCGTGTTTTTCCGTCTATCGTTTCCCGGGTTCCCATTCAGTCATGATTACGTAAGAATAATAGTCTGCTGCTAAATTAATAGGAACGAAATCCACCAAACGAGCTTGTATACGAACGCTATTAACATAGATTTTTTTTTTAATACGTTCCAGAAAAATGAAAGCGATGCTTCTGTAACCTGGGAACGGGTTCGTGGAATTCAGGTCAATAAAATAATTATTCAGAAATGATTATCTACTCGTAGAAATCATGAAAGAGAGGAACAGGAGAAAATAAAAGTTTATTCTTTTGGTTTCTTGTTACTGTTCTCGCTGGGAACGAGATCAAAGGGGCTGGACGAGGTTTTGATTTGACAGCTTTATTAATATCAAAAGAAATTCTGTGTACGCACGTGATCAATTGCCAAAATTACATTTGTGAGGCAGCGTGGTGGAATCAGGCTCTCGTCAAAATAATCAAAGTTAAGAAACTTGCATTTTTCCGCAGGTTTGTGAATTTTTGTCAAATTTTTGGTTTTTGGCTCAACACCTTTCATGCCCATTAAAGAACTCATTTCTGTGTGGATTTTTTGAAAAGCTTTGATTAAAGGTACAAAAATGTAAATTTTCTTTTACAACGGACCCTTAAGCTAAGGAAATAACTAATCTTTGGCGTCCATTCTCTCACTAATTTTACCTTTGAAAACAGGTGACCCCCACATCCTTCTTTTGCAAATATCTCACCTTGTATCCAAGAAAAATGGATATGTTTTTCATCCCCAAAAAGACAAATGAACAAGCTTTAAGGTGATAGCAATCACTCCACAGGCCCAAACAATGACGAGAGCCTGATTCCTCTACGCTGCCTCACATTTATTCCTGAAAGATATTCGGTACAGGCACGACTGTCGTTTTCCACATGGAATAATGTATGGAAATTAAATAGAATTGTTATTTCTATTTGTTTTATGTACAAAATTTAAACTGGTTTATAATGTCCAGACAAAGAGGTTTTTGATGTCAAGAGAGCATGCACCATGTCTTTTTGCGTTGTCAAGCTTCCATAGTTGTTATCCATGCAATGACGTCATCACTTTTTGTATATTTTAGTGTAGATAGACGACGCAATCCTGATAGGGACAAGATGTTCTCGAAAAGAGAGATAGATGGACGAGGGAGGGTGGTGGTGACAGGTTTGGAATAAGCAGAAAAGTTGTGATAGTTGGTAAATATTGTAATATGGAGAAGGAGAGAGAGAGAGAAAGAAAGAGAGCAGAGAGAGAGAGAGAGAGAGAGAGAGAGACAGAGAGAGAGACAGAGAGAGAGACAGAGAGAGTGGGGGATTGGAAAAAAATAGAAATATGACAAATTGGAAAGAAAAAAACGGTTGTTGGGATAAGTAAAACGAACAGATGTATCAAGGAAACAATTGTATAAAGGCAGATAAAGACAGCAACAGTACAAATTCAACCCAACACACCCAGTCCAACAAACGGTCCAATAATCGATTAAATGCCATGACCTAATTCTCGTTATAACCGCTGAACCACAGACGTCTTTGAAAAATTGTGTGAAAAATAAGATTTTTCAAAATCAAAAAGAAGATTGTAAAAAAAACAACGTATTTTATGGAAGTCTGATATTATATAATATTGTTTCACAGGACACTGAATTCCTATTTCATCATGTCATGTTTGGTACTGAGCTTTGATCTCAGGGAACAAGATGTAGTCTTTTGTGATCGATGAACACATAATGGATAACTTTAGAACGTGCGTTGAGCAGGTTATCAAAATCAGAAAGAAAATCATAAATCAATCATGAAATCTGAACAGAAACCTGAAAAGAAAGGGGGCTGAGGGTGGGGAGGGGCTAATTTACCAGTGCAAAAGCTGTTTTTCTCACTTTCCCCTCACAATGCGTTTAGATCAAATAGTTCGCAACTCTGTTGATTTTTATAGCAAAAACTAAATATCCTTCGTTTAGTTGTATTAAGAGTTTTACGGCACTACCAGTACAAATAATTTATGTAAGTTCCGAAGATTAGAAGTGTTAACAGTAACATACAGAAGAGAAGAGATACGGGCGATAGATCTTTGACAGGCTGGAAGAAGCATGCCACACCAGAGCGCCCGCCAACCACCCACGAAATTAATAATAATTATCCTTGATGACGTTCCGTAGATGTCTGTTGGCAAATTGTTGCAAGAGAATTTTGAACCTGCAGTCTGGTTTTGATAGGTTTGATGAGGTTTTACTGTACTTTCAGCACTTCAGGTCATGTAAGTGCCCAATGTTAGAGTCACAAGTCACAAGAGAGTAACAAACATAAAAAGAAGGTGAACAAGGACAGCAATGAAAAATGATAGAAGAATCAAATCACACCAGAGCACCCACCAACGGCCCTCGCTGTTGTTGATAAGCTTCATGAAGTACAAAACATTGCTTACTCCTTTTGGGGGAAAAAGGGGTGCAAGAGAAGGGAGGGAGGGGGGG